CCAGCCTCCTTCGGGAGGCGTGCCGACAGGTTCCTTGACGATCGGGATCTCGAGCGGTGAGGGCGTGGGTTCGTCAACCGCTGGCGAGGTCTCTTTTGCGACCTGTGAGGTTTGCGAAGCATCCTGCGAGGCAGGCTGCGAGCTGGGTGGCGAAACAGGCTTCGAGGCAGGCTTCGGGCGAGCCTCGCAAGCCATAAAAGCCAGGACAAATAAGCACCACAACACTTTCCAACGCATCGATCCTCCGGCGTACACAGCCACACTTCACGCGCTCTCGCCGCACGAAGTATGCACGGCACCACACACGCCAGCAACCGTTCCGAGGAGGAGCGAGGTTTACAAACTGTCAGATGTGTCGAGGTTTGTCGCACCTTCACCGGTCGACCTCTCTCGACCGACCTCTCTCCCCCACGAGACCGCGCTCGCGCTAGCAACCGAGCGCCGGAGCACCTATGAAACAGCACGCCACCTCTCCGACCCCTTCATCCCCTGCCCCTCCGAACGCAGGCTTCGACGCGACCACTCGCACGATCCTCATCCTGCTCGGCACCGTCGTCTTTATCGCCGTGGTCAACGGCACCATGATCAACGTCGCGCTCCCACACATTGGCCGAGACTTCGGCGTCAGCGAGGGAACCTATGGCTGGTTGGTCACCGGTTACACGCTGACATTCGGCATCTTTAGCGCCATCAACGGGCGCCTCGCGGACATGCTCGGCAAGAAACGGCTCTACATGTTCGGGATCCTGATGCTGGGGCTAAACTCACTGGCCGTCGCAGCGTCCCCGTATATCGAGTTGGCCATCGCGCTCAGGTTCCTGCAAGGCGCCGGCGCCGCCGCCCTCCCCGTCCTCGGCACATCGATCATCAAAGAGATCGTCTCACCACAGCAACAGGGAAAGGCGGTCGGGTACATCCTGAGCACGGTGGGCGTCGCGGCATCGATCGGGCCATTCCTGGGGGGCGTCATCGTGCAGTTCGCGCACTGGCGCGTGGTCTTTATGATCACAGGGCTGGTGCTCGTGATGTTCCCCCTGGCGCTCAAGGTGTTGCCAGAGTCACTCAACGAGGTCGATGGCAAGAACTTCGATTGGGTCGGCGCGCTGCTTCTGTCCGCGGGCATCGGCGCGCTGCTCTATGGGTTCGAGATGCTGGAGAACCGCGCCGCGTTGTGGATGTTCCTGACCACGATCGGCGTGGGCGTCGGTTCGTTGGTGGCGTTCGGGTTCTGGATCATGCGCAAGGATAACCCCTTCGCGCACCCGGCGACGTTCAAACGAACCAAATACCTGGCGAGCTGCGTGGCCGCCGCGACGACCAATGCCGCGCGCTTTGGCACCGTCGTGCTCACGCCGATTTTCCTGACAGAGATCAACCACCTCGAGCCGCTCGGCGTTGGCGCGGTGTTGTTCCCTGGCGCGGTGATGATCGCCTTGCTCAGCGCACGCGCGGGCAACTGGGCGGACAGGGTCGGCGCCAGGATGCCCGTGGTGGTGGGCATGATCGCGATGATTTTGGGCGCGCTGGTGAGCGCTGTTTATGCAGGAGGGAGCCCGATCGGCGTGGGCGTCGGGATGACGCTCTTCGGGGTCGGCTTCGCCTTCACACAGAGCCCACTGGTGAGCGCGGTGAACCGCATGTTGCCACGCGAAGAAGCGGGCTCAGGTGTGGGCCTCTTCATGATGATCTTCTTTGTTGGAGGCGCCGCGGGCGTGGCCGCATCGGTCACCGCCATCGAGCTCCAGCCGCCCATGATCGACGGCCTGTTCGGGCTCACGACAGGAGCGCGCGGCAAGTTCACCAACGCGATCCTGATGCTCTCGACGTTGCTCGCTGTGGGGATGCTCTTCGCGCCGATGCTCCCCGCAGGCGCAGAGAAAGAGACGAAGAAGGCCGCCTGATCCTGACCAGTGATACCGCGACCTGACGGACTTACTCGTCCATGAAGTCGAGCTTGGTGGAGCGATGGAAGCCATCGAACGCCTCGGACTTGTCGTGGTCCGGGACAGGGAACGTGGCGGGAAACAGGGGCGCTGCGCCATCGACAGAGAGGCACGTGCCCGTGATAAACGCCGCCGCCGGAGAGAGCAGGAACACGATCGCGGCGCTGGTTTCAGCCTCGGTGCCAAAGCGTTTGAGCGGGATCGCGTCGCGAAGCGCGGGCAAGGTCGCCTTGACGTAATCGGGATAAGTGTCCATCCCGCTCGAGGCGATCCAGCCTGGCGCGACGGCGTTGACGCGCACGCCTGCCCTGGCCCACTCGACAGCCGCGGTCTGTGTGAAATTGAGCATCCCGGCGCGCGCTGCGCCCGAGTGACCCATGCCGGGCATCCCGCGCCACATGTCGGCGATGATATTGACGATCGAGCCGCCGCTATCCTCCATCGACTGGTTGAAGACCTCGCGCGCCATCATGAAGCCGCCGGTCAGGTTTGTCGAAACGACCGCGTCCCACCCCTTCTTGTTGATCGCCTGGAGCGGCGAGACGTATTGACCGCCGGCGTTGTTGACGAGGTGGTGGATGGTGCCGTGGGCTTCGACGACTTCCTTGATGACTTGTGTGACGCGCTCTTCATCGCGGATATCACAGGTCCACCAGACGGCTTGGCCTCCATCCTCCTCGATCTCGGCCTGGACGCGCTCGAGCTTCTCTTGCTTTCTGCCGATGAGGATGACGCTGGCGCCGAGGCTGGCGAGCTCGTGCGCCGTGCAACGGCCGATACCGCTGCCGCCGCCGGTGACGATGATGGTCTGATTGGCGAACAAATCGGGGCGAAACACGCTCTCGTAGGACATCTGCGACCTCTCTGGCAATCTTGTAAGCGTTCACTAACTTGCGCACACAAGATACCGAGTTTCGAGCGATTGAGAAGCGCGATTTATTTCTCCAGTCGTTTGCGCGCCTCGCGATAGCTCAGGCCGGAGAGGTTCTCCTTGTTGGCGTCGGTCCACTCGCGCACGACCTCGGGCTCGACGCGCGAGAGCTCGCGCAGCGCCCAACCGATCGCCTTGCGGATAAAGAACTCCTTCTCGTGCATCAGCGCCTCGCACGCCTCGAGCAGCCAGGCGACGTCGGTCTTCTCTTTAAAGCGAAGCTGCGCGATCAAGGCCGTGCGCCTGATCCACATGCACTCATCTTCGAGCCAATCATCCATCAATGGCCAGGTCTCTTCCGGGTGATTTTCGAGGATCTTGCCAACGAGGTTGCTGGCGATCTCGTCGGTGAAGTCCCACCAGGAGCCCTCGCGGATCATGCTCAGGAAGAGGTCGAGGTAGCCGAAGGTGAGGAGCTTCGGGTAAGCCCTGGCGAGGCGCACCGCGAGGTACTTCTCCTCGCGATGCTCGCACGCCCAGAGCGCTTTGATTGCCGCCATATGCGTGGCGGCATCTGTGATCTTATGCTCTCTCTTTAGCTCCCGCAGGATCTCCTGGCGAGCCGGGCTCTGCACTCCGTAGAAAGGCATCTCGGTCTTCATGTAGGCGGCCATCTCCTTGGCCAACTGCGAGTTTGCCTGCTCGTCCAGGCGGCGCTGGGCGTGCGCGACGATAGCCTCGACGAGCGCGTCATCTGCTTGCTCGGTCATCTCCTCACTCCCTTTCGCGCGTGTGCGTCGAGTACCGTTGGCGTGGCGAACACTCACTGCGCCGTTTCTGGGATCTCTTCGAGCTTCTGCTCGCTCCAACGCGTCACGTTTTGGCGAAGCAGCGACAACGGCACGGCCCCTCGCCCGAGCACCACATCGTGAAACTCCGAGAGCGAGAACTTATCGCCCATCCTCACCTTCGCCTCTTCTCTAAGGCGCATGATCTCTAGCCTTCCGACCATGTAGCTCAACGCTTGCCCTGGCCAGGCGATGTAGCGATCGACCTCGTTGGCGATCTCGTTCTCGGGGAGCGCGGTGTGTTCTGTCATGAAGTCGATCGCCTGCTGGCGCGTCCACCCCATGGTGTGAATCCCCGTGTCGACGACCAGGCGCGCGGCGCGCCACGCCTGATAGTTATACATGCCGAACTCAGAGAGCGGGCTCGAGTAGAGGTTCATCTCGCCAGCGAGCACCTCGGCGTAGAGCGCCCACCCCTCGACAAACGCCGTCTGACCAACATTTCGGCGCCAGATGTGCACATCTGGAAGCTCCTTGGCGATCGCGATCTGGAGGTGGTGGCCAGGGATCGCCTCGTGGAATGCGAGCGCCTCGAGGTTAAAGAGCGGCCTGGTGCTGGGCTCGTAAGAGTTCACGTAGTAGATGCCCGGACGATCGCCCTCTGCGGATGGTGGTGGGTTGTAATAGGCCGCTGGCGCATCAGGAGCGCGGTGAGGTTCGAGCTCACGCACGACCACCGGCGTCTTTGGCAGTATCCCGAAGTATTCAGGCATCGCGGCTTCTGCACGCGCCACGGCTTCCTCGTTGAGCTTGACCAGCGTAGGAGCATCGGGCGCGTAGTGGTCAGGGTTATTTTTCACCCAGTCGATGACCTCTTTACGCTCGGGGCTCTTCAAGCCAAGCTCGCTACCGACCTCGACCATCCCTTTGCCGAGCACCTCGAGCTCGTCGAGGCCCGCCTGATGGAGTTGTTTGGCGGTGTAACCTTCCCCGATATGATTCTGCATCCTGGCGGCGTAACACTTGTCGCCATCGGGCAACTCGGAGATGCCGACCTTGTCACGCGCGACGGGCAGAATCTCTGCTTTCAGGAAGTCACGATAGCGCGTGAGCGCTGGGCGAACGGCATCCTTCACCGCCGCTTGCAGCGAGGTCGTGTCGAACGAATCGCCCTCTTTCGCGGGGCGAATGCGAAGCATCGGGTCTTCCTCGACAGGTCTTGCGAGCAAGGCGTCGAGTTGTGCGATGGCGCGCTCGACGTTGACGCGCACAGCCGTGTAACCCTTCTTCTTGCCCTCGGTCAGGTTGGCGATGGTCTGATCGATCTGCTCGCCGGTCAGGCGATACCTGGCCTCGAGGTTCTGCAAGTCCTTCTCGGTACGGATGCTGTGGAAGACGGGCATCATCAGGTAGGAGACCTGCGGACCACCCAACCCATCGACGCTCCACCACTCGGTGTGACAGACCTGCAAGGCGCGCTTGTTTTTGGCGCTCATCAGGATCATGGCGCGCGTATCGCGGGACATCGGCGAGAGCGCCGCGGGGTCGATCGCTTCGGCCTCTTTGGCGATCGCCTCGACCTGTTGGAGGTAGCGCTCCTCGGCCTCTGGCGAGAGGTCCGAGAGCTTATCATCGTAGTCGCGAATGCCCTCGTAGGTGGCCCACCTGGGGGAGCGCTTCATCTGGAGGTTCCAGAGCGCGTCGAGTTGTTTCTCGAGCGCGGCCTCGGCGTCTTGCTGCGCCTGTTTGACGTTTGTCTGAGCAACATTTTCCTGGCCGGAGGTGTCCTCGACCTTTGCCTTATCGCCGCGACATGCCACGGGCGAAACCAACAGCAACGCAGCCAAACCAAACCACAACTTCTTCATCACAACTCCCTGGATACCCACCAAAATCTCGCCATCGAACTGCGGCGAGGGGCAAGGAGTAGCACCCTCTCCTCGCCGCATCAACCTCGCGCCGCGGCGCGCTGAACCTGCGAGCATCCTTCGGTTTATCCTTGCGAGTGATGCAAAGGCAGCGGGTGTTCGCGCGAAACAGCAACGCTCTCATCGGCTCGCAGGTTAGCGCGCATCGTTAACGCGCGAACCCGCGCGTTAACCTGCACGCCACCGCATCGGCAGGCGACAGGCCCGAAGCGCCAGGGTTTGTTCTGGGGAGAGTGATAGAGGGAGATAGCGTGCAGGTTCAACGCGCCTCGGCATACAGGTATCAGCCTGTTGGCCAATCGTCAGGATTCGCAGCGGTATGAATAAGGGCATGAACTTCGATCGTGTCCTCATCCGAGAGAACATAAAAGAGGTTGTATGAGAACCGACGAACCAGCGCGCGTCTCATTCCTGGTTCGATTTCTGGGTAAACATGAGGCATCGCCAAAACGCGGCCAACAACCTGCGTGACTTCAGCGAGCAACGCCATTCCGAGGCCAACTTCCTGCGCTTCCAAATACGCGATGGCATCTTCGAGGTCCTGCTCCGCCAAGGCCGTCCAAACCAATGTCCTGGCCATCATTCTAACCGAACTTGGAGATCATGCGTTGTTGGACCTCGTCCCAGGAGCTCGTCGAGGAAGGTTCCTCGCGATGTTTTCGAATGCGCTCCCGCACAGCCTCGACTTGCCAGGGGGGGACAGGCACCTCTTCTGGTCGAGGTGCGATGTACTCCCAGAGCTTCTGGGCGTATTCGATTTGCTCCTCTCGGCTCATTTCATCGAAGCCAGGAGGAAGCTCGATATTTGCTTGTGTTGCCATGGGTAACTCACTCGCTCGTTCAGCCTACCGAGAGGATTTTACCTCACACACATCTCCTCGTCAGGTCTAACCGTTCGAAACCACATCATCTTCCGCACACCTACAACGCTTGCGGGAGCACAATGCAGGAAAATGATAGAGGGAGATAGCGTGCAGGTTCAACGCGCCTCGGGCATTGTCAGTGGAGTCAGGTTTGGTCACACTCGGGGCATCGATATGGAGGTTATGAATGCACTCGCGCGCCCGTCTCGTGTCTATTCTGCTGGCTTCTCTCGCGCTCTGCGTAGGATCTTCCTGCCGAACTGCGCCGCAAGCCACGCCTACAAAAGTTATCGATGAAGCGGCGCGTGAGGCGGCCTTCCTAGAGCAACTCGAGGAAATCATCGCCCAGGGACCGGGCAAATCCCGCTGGCAAGAGCTCCTGACGATGCTCGAAGCGTGGGAGCACGCGCCCATCTCAGACAGCGGCGTGGCGCGCCTGAACAAGGCGTTTACAATGGCAAAATGGGACGATGAGCTCCGCGTCGTGCCTGACCATTGGGAGGCGCTCGATGCCCCCATCCCGAGAAGAGACCTCTGGAAACTCGCGCGTCATCTGGATGTGCAACAACGCCCCCTCTCTTTCGAAAACCTCGAGAGCACCGCCCACCTGGCCGAGATCTCGTGGGTCTCGCTCCATGGCCCCGAATCACTCCAGGCGTTGGTCGACGCCTGGGACAACAACACCCTCCCTGAACACGTTCATCTTCGGGCGAGCGGCGTGAAGATGGATGCCGTCTCGCCGCTGCTCTCGCACAAACGTCGCGCGAAGCTCGAGACATTGATCCTGTGGGACAATCAACTCGGCGCATCGCTCGGGGATGCGCTCGTGTCGGCGGGGAGTTGGCCAAACCTGCATCGTCTGGACATCGGCTCGAACAACCTGCGCGGCGAGGGGCTCGAGAAGCTAGCGCTCCTCGCCGCACCGAAGCTCGAGATCTTGCAGCTCGATTGGAACGCGTTTCCGCCCGGCGATCAGAGCGCGCGCTGGTTGAGCGAGGGGAGCGAGCGTTGGCCGCGATTGAAGAAGTTGTATATGGGAAGCAACGGGCTCGACAGCGCGAGCGTGAAGGTGTTGTCACAAGCATCTTCGCTGCAAGGATTGGAGGCGCTCTCCCTGGAGAATAACCCGCTCGATGACGACGCGCTCGAAGCGTTGGTGAAGTCACCAGTTTTGGCCAACCTGAAGGAGCTCAAGCTCTCGCGCACGGGAATCACTGGCGAGGGTTGCGCACACTTCGAGCAGGCCAGCTTCGCGGGGTTGGAGCTGTTGGATATCGGACGCAACGCTGTGGGGCCAGCCTGCGCGAGGTCGATCGCGCGAGCGCCATTTATGCCGACGCTCGCTGCGCTGATCGCGCCGGGGAGCAGGTGGGAGACCACGGCGATCGAGGCGCTCACACAGCCAGGGCTCTTCCCGACGCTCCACGCGCTCAATCTGGCGAGTAACGAGCTGACTGGCGAGGACTGTATGAAGCTCGCCAAGCATGATGCGTGGTCCAGGCTACGCTCGCTTTCGCTGCAAAAGAACCCGCTGGGAGACGCCTGCCCGAAGGCGCTGGCGCGAATGCCTGTGAAGTTCGATCACCTGATCCTCGCACACTCCGAGATGACGGATATGGGATTCCAAGCGCTTGTGGCTGGCGATAGCGTCAGTGAAGCGAGCAAGCTCGAGGTTGGCTGGAACGCGCTGACTGCCGAAAGCGCCGCAGCTCTGGTCAACGCGGCATGTTCGAAAGGTCTCGAGAACCTCTCGCTCGAAGGCAACACGTTGGAGCACGCCGGGCTAAAGGTCTTGCTTCAGGCGAAGTTTCCGGCGTTGCGTTCGCTGGAGCTCGGGTGGACCGGATTACAGGATGACTCGGCCACACTCATCGCGAAAACCACCTGGTTAGAGCAGCTCGACTGGCTCGACCTGCAAGGCAATGGTTTCACGAGAGAGGGCGTGGTCGAGATCCAGCAAGCGGAGCAGCTAAACGCGTCGATTCGCAAGGAGTTCACCGCGCGCTATCTGCATGTTTTGGGGAGCGAGCAAAAGGAATGAGATGCTGCGGCGAGCAGGGTCGTGGTAAACCTGTGCTCGCCGCAAAACATGCAACAGCGTCGAGGCGCACTTTTCAGGAGCACGAGATGAAGCTCGAAGAGTTCGAAGGTATCTTGCTAAAGAGTTTGGAAGATGGGCGGATCAGCCGCAGCGAGCGCAAGGCGATCCGGGCCCGGATCGACGAGGCGGAGCCAACCCCCGAGCAGCTCGCGCAGTTTCGCGCCAAGGCGTTCGAGATCGCCAGTGAGGCCGCCACCCGCGGCGTCACTGGTTGGCTCGAGGACGTGATCAAGATACTGCTCCCCTCGCCGCCCCCACGTTCCGAAATGCGCGCGTTCTTTAGCCCTGGCGAGACATGTCGCGCGGCGATCGTGGGTGCGATCGAAGGTGCGAGGCGAAAGATCGACATCTGTGTCTTCACGATCACGGACAACAATATCTCCAACGCCATCATCGAAGCTCACCGACGCGGGTTGATGCTCCGCGTGATCACGGACAACGACAAGTCCGAGGATCGCGGCTCGGATATCGACCGCTTCAGGCGCGAGGGGATCAACGTGCTGGTGGACGAGACCGACAAGCATATGCACCACAAGTTCGCGATCTTCGACGGTGAGTATGTGTTGACGGGTTCGTACAACTGGACGCGCTCGGCGGCCGATTACAATCAGGAGAACGTCGTCATCACAGATGACGAGGAGATCATCAGCGCGTTCGAGGAAGAGTTCGAGCGACTCTTCGTGCAGTTCTACTAAGGCGCCATCGCCTAAAGAGGAGCAATGACAGAGCAACGCGACACCACACACCCAACCTGGGTCGAGCACGCGCGCGCCCTGGGCGAGCGCTTTGACATCGAAGAGCACAACCTCGTCAGAGTGCTTGATAAACTGCCGACGCTGGCGCTCGTGGACCCGGCAGAAGAACT